CCCCCCCTTTCTATGTTTGAACCACAGGAAAAGTAGGAGCGGAAAGACAGAGAGCTGGGGGAGACTCAGGACAGTGAGAGTAATTGCAGGTGTTCGCAGCAGACAAGGGTTGGGATGTTCACTGAATCGCTAACACTGTGGAAATCACAGCATGCATTCACACAGGTACAAGTCGGCCCGGTGAGAACATGCAGCCACTTTAGCCGGAACAAGAAAATGCACAGAGAACAGAAAGAACACATCGGCGCTATTGGATTGTCCTCAGAAGGCAAATCCAGAGACACGGCACCTTAGCATACAGACGTGGGCTGCTACAAATCTAAAGGGACAGAGAGGAGCAGCGCGGTAGATCATTTTTCTGTTTCACTGCACAGCCACTGTTTACTTGCAATCTACAAATACAAAGGAGCCATATGGCTGCCATGAGGGTCTACAAAGGCAGGATGTACTATGGGGACTGTGTTATTTCAGGATCAAATTGCCCCTCACGCATTAAAAGTGTGCCAAAAACACCTTGCGTAGGTGTGCAAAACAATAATATGGACTAGTGCACGGACCTGCAAGGAACATAGTGAGAATGTGGGAAGGTGCAGAAAATAAAGACCCAATGCAAGGTCAAGAAAGCTATAGTCTGAAACACTGACACCTAAACTGAAGCGATATTTTGTAAAATGCTACACTTCACTTTTATTAGAGTGTTTTAAGACTGAATTGTAGGCTCCAGTCGGCACAGCAGTTACAGTGGTTTACAATATTGCTTCAGAGTAAGCTTGTGTGTGGCGTTTGCATGATCTCTTTTTGCCTGCGTAGCTTTTGCCCTGCTTCCACCTAAAGTCTGAAGACATGTTAGGTTAATTGAATGTGAAGGAGATAAAGTGTTTTAAGTTTATAGAGTAAAGCGCTGCATGTATATAAGGTTAAAATGTGACTCGCAGTCTTTAAGTGGTTTGAGTCATAAGTAAAACTAGAGAGTGCTATAGAAATGCACATAAGTACATTCAATCTGATCAGAATTATCTCACATTTTGTAGAAGAAATTATTAATTAAATAGTTGCAGAGTCAACACAGATAAAAAGGTCCATTCCTAAACAAAAAAGAATTCATATTCAATTCATGATGTCTACTGCTTCCTAAGTAGGAAAAGCAGGACAGCGAGGACCAACTGCAGCTGGTTTTAATTTGTACTTCTTTATTAACCTTGCACTATATTAAAACTCAACATTATTGTTTTTCATTGGGTCATTATTGCCAGAATCTAAAAATCTATCCAATAACCTGCCAAAGATCAAATTACACAGTTAAACCAACTATCGAGCATTAAATAGCAAGACATTTTCTTTTGTAGAGACCACATAGAGCTCACAGAGGAATGAATATTGATGGACAAAAACACTATTGTGAGAAAGGACTCTGTGCTGTCCTTCGTACACTCCAGATCCACCTTTAGCAGTAATAAATTGACGTGATTTTTGTTCTGTATGATTTTATCAGCCTCTCACATCCTTGTGGAGGAATTTTGGCTTGTCGTTTGCAGGCATATGCACAGCTCTCTTAAGACAAATTGTACTATTTTGAACTTTAACATTTAACATACTAACTGACACCTGAGATGTAGCTCTCAGGTTTTTTTGCAATTTCTCAGCACTGCACAACTTGACCTTGGGTTGAATTTGCTGGGACGCTCTGAATGCTCCAGTAAACTCTCAAAACTCCTCCTTTTATAGAGGTGTTCACACCTGCTGATGATGTCTGTCAAATGCATTTCATTAGCAGCACCTAGCTGCATACAATCCTGTGAAAAATGCTTATTCATATATTAGGCCAGTGTTTCCCAACCACTGCGCCGTGGCACATAGGTCTGCCGTGAGAATTGATCAGGAAGATTATCTGGGAAACACTGTATTAGGCCATCCTAGCTGTCATGCTAACATCACATACTTTCAGAGACATTATCTTGGCAGTTGAAGTGTATGTAAACTTGGGTCCCGTTTTAACCGTGACATCCCATATAATTTCTTCCTTATTCTAACTTGAATGTCTTGTATGGCGATCTTAACCTGCAATGATGCTTTCTGACCAACAGATGGCACTCTTACAAATACCAAGTGCTTGTGTCCAGTTACAGCCGTCAGTGACGGCCAGCCACGCAAAGCAGATTTAAGGAATACACATTCCCAACACAGTCAACTTGTGTAGCTTTTTTGCTATCATGTTTGCCATTTGACTACAAATGCTTATTTTTATATGCTGTGCCCTAATTTGTCATTCGAAGCAGTAAAAATTTAAAAAATCCTGATTTTTTGTTTTTCTTCCAAACGCAAATTAACAAACATAAACAATTTAACGAAACATAGACCCACCTGTTTCTTGACAAGGCCATAACAAACTGGGCATTCCTCGCACTGGTGTGTGGCTCTGTTGTGGAAATAGTTTAACTCACATTTGTCACACTTGTAACCCACAAAGCCCTGGCGGCAGTGGCAGGTGCCGTTACTGCGACACTGCATAGAAACGGAGCCCATCGGGTCACAGTTACAGGCTTGGTGAGGCAAGATGGGACCACAAGGGGATGGCAGAGCCGGGGAAGCAACAGAGATAAACATTTATAGAGTTAGAAATGCCTTCATGTGTGATCTGTATTAGAGGAAGTATTAGAGGATTAGAGGATGGCACATAGTGCAGTTGTGATGCCTCGAGTAAAGTACTGTACCTCTGCAACCTCGTGATGAGAATCCAAAGAAGCCCAAACGGCAAGTATCACACAGTCTCCCCTCCACTCCTGTGCGACACACACACTGCCCTGTGATTGGATGGCATGCCAGTGACGATGAGCCAATTGGATTACATTTGCATCTGAGGAAGGCAGGAAAATGACACATTAATGATAGAGTCTGCTTCTAAGAATAGTTATTACTGCTTTTCATACAAATCAACTCTGAAGCGCACAGGGGATCTGTTTACATTTCACATCCAATGCCTGGTTGGAGGTTGAAGAAGCCAACTTCGCAATAACTGCAATCCCGTCCGGTCACATGACTGAGGCAATGACAATTTCCTGTCTGAGGATGGCATTCATTTACATGCCCAGATGTTCCAGCAGAGCTGCAGCTGCATGCTAAAGGAAATAAACACAAAACTTGAAACAAAAAAATCTGTTTGCAGCTTGCAAACAGCTTGCGGTACAAGATACGCCTACTTTGTATATCTTCAACTGGCACACTGGATTTCTTGTATTTGTCATCTATTTAAATAGGCTAGTATGACGAACAAAGATAAATAAAGTTTTGATTTTAAGAACAAGCCACAATGATCCAGGAGAAACATCTAGGGATATGCATCTTTGTGTAGACCAATTTTAGTGCAGAGTTTGATACCTTTACATCGATCAAAAACGTGTGTTTTGGAATCTTTATTGTCTCAATAGGAGATGTGGGTTACTTGTTCATCATGTTCCAAACACATGTTGCTAACAGGGAAGCTGCAGAGTGCCACTGGTGGCCAACCTGTGCAACAATCATAACATAACAGGGTTGAAGTGTTTTTTTTTTAATTTTCATTTCTCATCCTTTATAAATGATTATAGTAATATATCAGCAAATAGGTAACACAACATCTTGCTTTCACATCTGCAGTTATGAGTGATTTGTTTATGTTATACAGCTTGATTTCAGTCACCAGCCAAACCAAATATTACATTTCCCAGTTTATCAATTCATTATGAAAACAATAAGAAAAGACAAAGAATAGAATAATAGAAGTCCTATATCCCTCTGTGGTGTTGTTCTGTTCTGTAGAGGCTCAACTGTGGTAGAATGAAGCATAAGAAAAGGATAAGAAAATCAAAGGACAAACACGTCACAGCTATTACTGTTTCTGCTTTTGTAACTTCAGTTAGTTTTTTTTCCCCCGCTTTCCATTCTCCCAGCCCAGCGAGTCTCTTCTTTTTTGTGTTATCTTTCTGACCCACAGCCATTTGTTCAAACCATTTTCAGCTTTTGCCTTTCATGACTCAAGACAGCTATACCTGTCAAAATAGAACTCTTGAATTGAAGGCAATTTGAATGGACTATTTTTTCCTCTTTTTAAAAGTCCAACCTGAAGGTCAAGTAGCCTTTAGTAGAATATGTCCATTAGCTTTCTGGTTGTAAACACAACAATATGACAGTATGAATTGTATGCTGATACAGTTTAAATGCAACACTGCCGGAAAAAAGGTTGAATGCAGTGGATGTTTCCAAGGGAAGCAAGCCAAACACATCTATAAGTGCAGGGGAACTCTTTCAGGAGACCCATCTTTCATTGCTCATCTTGCACTGACATCGTAGCGTCATAATAAATTACCGGCACACTCTCGGTTACTCACACTTGCACTTCTGGCCCACTGTCTGGTCCAGGGCGTTGCCGTAAAAACCCTGCTGGCAGCGTTCACAGTGATCTCCCTCCGTGTGTCCCAGGCACTTCAGACAGCGCCCAGTGACGTGGTCACATATTCCCACCGCGTTGAAGTCCACATTACCATTGCAGTTGCATCTCGCACATGGCTGAGCTGCCCCTGAGAGCCCTAGGGGGTCACCATAGTAGCCATCTTCACACCTCTGACAGCGCATTCCTACACAGAGAATGAGGTGAGAGAGAGACGGGCAGGAAATAGATGAATAGATGAGAAAGAACACTGCTGGAGGTCACCGTCACCCGACCTCAGCTCAAATTAAGGTGGAGTGCGCTACAGCCACCATCTTTTCAGTATCACGCTGTCGTGTGGAGACGCTCTGACTGCTTTGATCTTGACATCTCGTTACTCAGTGTGCTTCCCATCCATACGAATTTGTTTAAATTGTTCACGTCACCTGTCTGTCCTGCAGGGCAGTTGGTACAGACCACCTGTCCTGTCTCTGCAATTTGGACACAGCTGGTCTGGCCTGGGCAAGGGCAAGGCTGACAATCACCACGTGTGCCAATCAAAGAGTTGCCATAGTAACCATCCAGGCAGCGCTCACAGGTCGTCCCGGTGGTGAAGTCTGAGCATTCACATACACCTGAAAAACACACAAAAAAGACACATTGGTAATGCACATGCACACCTGCTTAGACAGTGTTGTTTATCTCACAAACAGGGGACAGAAAACAACGTTTTCCTCATCACCAGCAGAGGATGCTGTGTCTCTGACCATCACTGCACCTACTCTCCATAGATACTCCAGCTCTGTTAATAAAAGGGAAAAAAACGAAAAAAAAAACCCATAGTGCTCTCCACAGCCCACCGTGGAGAGCGCAAGACAACTAAATTCACCCAGTCTATAATTGCTTTGGGAAAAATATAAGCCAAATGTGGTCCGAAAGACCTTCAAGAAGTAAAGCAATTCCCCCTCCAAGTGGGAGAGATTACCAATTCTATGATGTCCTAAAAAAAACAGAAAAAACAAACTGTTGTTTTGAAACCTCTTTTGAAGAACAACTTGCACCTTTAAGCCACTCTAAAGGATTTACTCACGTGCAAAATGTGTTGATATACATGCGCGAGCATTAAAATCCCCGATGAATTCTGCTCGATTTACCGAGCTGCTTTTTGCCCTCATGTCACATTTCAAAATCCATTAAGCTACGGGTAGTGCTGAATGATATGACATGATAATCGTAGAAAATACCCACAGCAGTGGAGGCACTGATATAATGTATGGGTATATGGAGTGAATGTAAAGCAGCTTTCGGTGACCTGCCGTGGCTCTGAAGTCACACGCTGAATCGAAGAGACCTACGTAGCGGTTTGAGCAACAACTTCTGAAGCCATTAAGACAAAAAAAAATTCTCACATGATTTAAAGTGGCACATTAGTGTACCAAAAAATAATAAGTGCTAACATTCTTGGAAGACATTAATTATAAGGTATAAAAATAGTATCTGCATTTGGGTTTCTGTGTGTGACTGCGCATATTATTTTTTTTTGGTGCACTGCAAGATTTTTTTTGTGTTTTAGTATTAATCAAATATTATATATATAATAATTAATTATATATATTATTTACATCTTCTACAGAACACCAGTAACATGAATCACAAATAATCTGCAGGCATGTGATTTTCTTTTTTTTCTTTTTTTTTACTGAGTCCTCATTAAAATTTCCCATCACTCCCCTCATAGCCTACGGTGTAATTCAGTGAAAAGCTCTCTGCTGTGCATTTTTAAATCAGCTCACACTACTGAATATTGGAGTAAATAAATTCTTGCCTCTAGTTATGGGGGGGGGGTCACCGCAACCAGTGTCCCCCCCCCCATCGTGAACCTGCGAGTATATGAGATGGAATAAAAGCTGCAAAGTCATTAGCGGTAACAATTATGCTTTTGCCTCATGAAGTGTAGACTTCTGGGAAAAAAAATAATTATTAGTTCTTCGACGATGTGAGGTGAATGATAGTAACTTTCAAGCATGTAATGCCAGTCATTTAAACAGAGCATTTAGCAATAATGATTGTTTCCAGCATGAAGAAGTGAGTCTTTCTTGAATTTCACAAGGCATTCCAATGACACTGATGTTGTGCAGTGTCAATCCCCAATGAGCCGTAGTAAATTTAATGGCAGCAGAAATGTGCTGACTTTACTGAGTGTGAAGATGACTGAGCATGATATGAGGCAGCGGAGCCACCGAGGGCCTCCTCGACGCTATTATCATTTTATCGGCTCCTCGGAAAAGCTAACGGCACGGATCGCAAAGTGACGCTGAATGGCAGGATCACGTGACGCTCCTCATCGTCATGCCAACCGCATCCCTTGAGAATCATTTTATCAATGAATCAATGACCGCTCACTCGGCCTGTTAATGAACTGGGATTTCTGTGAAGCTAACGTCTGGAGCAGTGCGTTTTGAATCCTTTGACAAATCCACACAATCCTCCTATTCTGCTTTCACCTTCTCGCGCTCCTCCCCTTGGAGCCCTGCACTTCAGTGCTCTGCTCTTCTTGTCTCTTTTGTGATGGCAGAGCAATATTTCTCCTTGTTTTTTTTTTTCTTAAAGACGAGTCCTCCATCATATATATACATCACACTCCAAAAAAGCTCTTTTCTACCAGTGCTTATTCTACCTGCGCCCCATCCCTGCACTCATTTTCTCTGCAGGAGCGCATTCACACCCAGGACTAATGCGCTTCATTAATGGAGCCACTTATGGCCAATAGAAATACAGTGGAATGCATCACTGAGAGATAGCTGCAGGGGCGCAGGCGGCCACTGTGGAACAAATGAAAGACAGGCGGCTTCACTCATTTCTCTCGTTCACATCTGAGCATCATTCACTGCTCCTCTCTCAAACGGAGTCGTTCTTCCAAAGATAGCGGTTATCGCCGCTCGTGGTAGCTTGTAATAACTTTAGCACCAGATGGAGACAGAAAAGGAGGAAACATATTCCAAGGAGAGATGGTTCTTAAATATTTTTTTTGTGTGTGTGTGTGTGTCTGTTTTGTTTTGAAAGAGATCGTAGCCCAACTCTCCTCTGTTATTACATTTGCCTCTAAAGTCTCAAGATTTATTTTCTGACTAAATTGAGTTTCTTAAGATCACCGCGTGTCATCTGCACCATCTTGGGAGGTCTTTCTGAGAATGAAGGGCGACGTGTGGGGCCCTTGATGACGTGTGAAGCCAGACACACAAGGAAAACAAGCAACTCAGCTGTGCCACTTAAGTGTTTAGGCTACTCGTCACTTCACGACTCAGCACAAACACGCATGAAAATAATCGTGGACTATAACAGATTCCTACATTTTCTGCCCCCCCTCCCATGCACATTAAACAATACTGCCGCACGGATGTGATTTCACAAACATGAGTTTTTCAAGAGCTTTCCACATTTTCCAGGAGGCTTGTCTCCTTAGCCCACTGGAACATTAAAATGCTTCTGGCCAAGGAAATTTATTTACTAATGCATGTGAACACACTGCTTTAATGAAGGGAAGGAGGAAAGAAAAGCAGAAAGGCAGAGACAGAGAGAGAACTTTTTGGCCTGCCACTTTAAGGCCTCAAGGGTGGAAGCCGGGTTAAATCTGCTGCGCGACTGTTATGGCGATGTTGTTCTCTAATTTAACACAGATATGCTGCTAGTGACTGCTGCTGCAGATGTGGCTTGTCATGGGCTCTGAATAAGTGGACTGCTGCAGAGGAGAGAGGGAGGGGCAGTATATTGTGTCCAGCGCCATACATAATGTGTGCAGTACGGATGACTGGGGAAATACGTTCTGTCGTGCTGTGACTGTGGAAAATAAATGCATCAATTGCTGTTTTGTGTATAGACGCTGTCAGCCAAATTGTTACAGCCAAGGCCCCCTGGGTATCCCGGGGATGGAAACTCTAACAGCAGTGGCTGTAGCTCATGTTGCCTCACTCTGGCTCTGGGTTACCTAGATGTTAGGGAGGAGCTGAACAAGAGATTTATGATGTCTTATTAAATGCTAATTCCATAAAACTGCTTAAAAAAGCCAATCAATAATAATCTTAAACTGCTTATTCTTTTTTCATGTAATTAAAAGGTGAGACTGTTATCTGAGACTTAACTGTAAGATCCACAGTGAGCCGTGTTATATGGCATGAAGAGACAAACTCAGGATGTTTGACTACTTCAGCCATCCCCTAGACTAAAGTACCTCAACAACTAAACATTTATGTTTATAGGTTTGGAAGTTTATCCATTTTTTTTCGTCTTTGCACATGTTAGATGGATTCCCATGCATTAAATTTGAATCGCAGCACTCACACTGTATAGATGTTAACCTCAGGATGAACTGTAACAACGTTGGCAGTTGCGTATATAAAGTTTTATCATCAGGTTAAAGGTGTTTAGTCTGTGAGCAAATAGCCATCAAACTAATGACAAACAAGCTCAAGTGAAAAGGGGGAACTACTAAACATTATAAACCCAGACTGCATATAAATGATTGATGTAGCAACCAGGATATCACACGTGCTTTGAGATGAGCACTTTGACCTCCACCATCTTGGTGCTTTTGAAAGTGGACCTGCCGACCGAGCAGTGCACGCTCACACTTGGCAATCAGAAAGTGCTTGCTTTGGGTCAAATCATCAGTAAACATGATATCTCCTTTCACTGCTTTGCTGATGATATTCAACTATATCGTGTCCTCAATCCCAGGATGGATAAAATCATCATACGCTTTGAGGGCATCCAATTCTTAACAGAATTTCCTTTAGCTGTTGACAATAAAACAGATTTTTTTTTCTGAGACATTGCAAAATTGAGATTCATTTGCTTAGACTAGTGCATTTCACTTTACTCTGGTCTCAGTCAGTCCTCTCAGTCCCGTCTACAGCCTGTCCATAATGCTGCTGCTGGGGTCCTCACAGACACACGAAAAAAGAGATCATATTGCACCTCTGGTAGCTTCTCTCCACTGGTTGCCAGTGAGGTGTGGAATCAATTGCAAGAGCTTCCTGCTTGTTTACAAAGCCTCTCATGGCTTGACTCCTTCTTACATCGCTGACCCCTACAACCCTATTCAGTTTCCAGGTCCCTCCGGTCAGATGCTTCTGGCTTTCCCCCACTCTAGATTTTAACCCAGAGGAGAACGTGTCCTCTCTGTGTTTACCCCCAAACTGTGTAACAGCATTCCCTTCAAAGTCAAATTTTCTCCTTTCTTTTGAGTCTTTTAAAATTATGCCCATACCGCATTCCAGATACCTTGGAGCGCATTCCAGAAAAGGCGAGAAAAAACGTGTTTTCGTTCATAGCATCACTAGCAAAACAGCACAAGACTGCATAAGACTTTGCACTTAAAAAACACATTAATAGACAGAGTCTGGTTAGTGCTCTACATATGGCTCATTTAGTGAGTCAATAATACATAACAGTGGCAGTACAAATGAAATGTTTACAGTTTTACTACGGTTTATGTTCAGTGCCGCCATCTTGGATTGCTAACTGGATTGGATTTACCACCTCAGGGTGTTATGGTAAGACTTTCCGAGAGGAAAATTGAAGTTAAGGGGGCATTCCACAAAAAGTTCTGACTGGGACTACCAACTTCTTCAGGAAT